TCTTCAGTTCCTCCACTAAATCTGCTAACATGGTGTTTTTCACCAGAGCAGGCCTCAACATGAAGGTGTGTCTGCACTGAGGACAGCTGGGGATTTTCTTCTGATCCTCTTCATCCCAGTGGCTTTTAATACAGCTCATACAGTAGTTGTGTCCACAGGTAATAGTCACAGGATCCTTCAGTAGATCCAGACAGATGGAACAGCAGAGTTTTTCCTGGTCCATCTGAATTCCTCGCTGCGCCATTTCACCTATCAGACAGTGAATGTCAAATAATAATACTTTGTCAAACAAGAACAAAGCTGGGAACTGATCCAAACTAAACAGAGTTCCCCTTTCTTCATGTTCACTCACTGATATGATATGATATGATATGATATGATATGATATGATGATAAACAAGAATGTCTGCACTGTAGAGGAAAATCAAAAATGCTTCACAAGTGATTATCAGTATAGTAACAATAATTCTACATCTTAACTACACTTTTAAAAAATATTTACACATTAACAAAGTGACAAGAACAAAATAAACATCAACTATGATCATCTGTGAGCTCAAATCAAACACTTTACAGCACAGAAATCAGATTTTTTTTTAAATTTTTGTTTCCAATTAATCAAAGTTTCCCACTATACAAACATTATCTGAATGAACACAGACAGACAGACTTTTTGTTCTACCAGAGACATCCTGGAAATCATCATCGCAAAACCCACCAGACTCCAGTTCAAGTAACAATAATTCAGTCAGGAACACTTTCATCAAAGAATACTTTATTTCCATTTTCAGTTTTATATTTAGTGGTATGGCTCTGTTCTTGGGCCTCTCTGCCTTTCCTAGGGCCCACGTAGAAAACCTCCTCCAAGTGCCTGCATGGAAAGCCTACGGCAGAGAGAGCACTCCGCCCTGCCCTTCCATGCGCCCACATCAAAAGCCTAAGGAGGGACAGCAGCAGCAAAGACCCCACAGGAACAGAGCAGAGCAGCATCAATGACAAACAGAAATGACACTGGCTACGGTTACATGATGGCTTCTCATTTGGAATGAAATAAATCTGAATGAAATCATTCAGAATTAAAGTTTTTCCAGGTAGTTTACATGGGAAATATTCTTTCCGAATAAGGGTTTACATGGGAGATCAGTTCAAATGCCTTTATTCAGGTCTGCGCAAGGTTTGGGGCAGGGAAGGTATGTGATTGGATAGGGGGCGGGGTGGATGTTATGAGTTTACGTTTACCGGAAGAAAACACTATACTCCTCGCTCCGGATAACAAGATGCTTGACAACGCCGTTCCTCGTGCCCTTTTCGGGCATGTTTTGCTTATTTCCTTAAAGCAGCAGTATGACAACAACCTTGTTCTGCTAATGCTTCATCTGTTGAGGAGGAGAAGGGAGGTAGAAGACCGTGCTGTGGCGAATGGAAACCGGTCAGTGCAACGAGTCCAACTGCTCTATCTCAGCCCGTTGCTATGCAGCGCGTTGATATGCACGCTATATACGTCATCGCGCCAGAAGGGCAAGGAAACGAGCATGCGCAGAAAGACCGGAATGAACTTAAAGAGGAATGAGTGTATACATGCACACAAAATTCTTTCATTCGGAATGACAAACGGAATAAACCACCCCCTTTAATCAGATTTAATTTTCAATCGGAATGACCGTTTACATGACCACTTTTAATCGGAATGGCCTTTCATTCCCATTAACAGTGGAATTAAACTGTCCATGTAAACGTACTGACTGATAAGTAAGACACAGCATGAAAAGGAGGAGCTGGGGTGGAGGTGAGTTGCAAAGCAGCTTGCAGAGGAATCAGCGACAGTAGGCAGGCCAGAGCAGTTTAAATAGTGTGCCCTGAATGAGATTTGCTGATTGGTTGCATAGAAAGGAATCGTGTGATCTATCAGCTGACTTTCTTTGATCAGTCAGCTGCTCCATCAGTTGATTGGGCTGTTTGAGATCAGCTGATGTTGGGGGATATGAGCTGAGCTTCACATCATGTTCTGCCTGAACTAACGCTATGCTCAAATTTTATCATCGTAAAACACACTTCATTCAAATTCAATAACAAAATAAAACTCACAGAGCTGTCTTCCTTCGTCTCATCACTGTTCCAACTATCACCAACTCTGGTTTAGTTAAAATAAACCCTGAATTCATTCAATTACATGTGAATATATGCTGGCTCCATACAGCCTTAAATTCCTGTTTATTTCAAATGAGTCTTTTGGGTTTGCCTATAGTGATTTTGGGACTGTTTCTGCTTCAATAAAAATGATCTTACTCTTTAAACAATGGTATATCTCTGTAGGGATTCTTTCCATAATGATGTTAGACAAATAGAATAACAATCAAAGCCTGTCAGTGGCAAAAACAACACTTTTAGTGGACGTACTCTACTATGCACTCACACTCAATTTTGGACCAATTTCAGTTGGGATTTTTGTTCCCATTTGTCGCTTAGACCCAGAAATATGGGACAATGGGGTCAAGATAGAAAAATACAATTGACTCCTTTTGTCACCACCCCCTGCAGGCTGTTGGGATAGTGGGGACATGACCTGGAAACTCAGTTCCAGATGAACAAAGGTGAGGAAATCATTGTTTTTACAATTCCCACCTAATCTCTCATGTTTGTGTGTGACACTCAGCTGCACCCTGCAGTGCAACATGATGCTACTTTTTCCTCAATCTTTAATAATAAAAGGTTTTCAAGCTTCACCTCTCTGAAGTAGTTATCTTAAAGTTGCTGTATGCTGCCATCTGGTGGTCTCATTGGATATTACATCTACATCTGTACCTGTATGGTGAAAAAGACACATGTACCCGACACATCTAGTCGCTGTGTACTGTAACATTGTCTTTTGTGTTTTCAGTGCTGCAGCTACACCTTAGAGTAAACAGCTTCAGACTATTAAACCAGCCCATCCTGCTGGTCTGCCCCCTGCAGGCCAGTTTGGTGGTACTGCAGCTCCCTCATTAATGATCAGATTTGATCTGTTCACTACAATCAGTGAACTCCCCCCTAAAATAGGTTTCAAAGTATGGTCTCCATTTTTCATTCATGACCTTTATTCACTGTCTCTTCATTAAGTAGATAAAATATTGCCATTGTCTTGTGAAAACCAAGAATTTCCTCCTGGACCTTCATCAAGAGTGTCCAACAACATTATTTCCAACATTGAGCTTAAATAGAAACTGCCCCACCCATGTCACAGGTGTGCACAGGTGTGGGAGGATTAATCAGCTGTGGGTGTGTTTCTCAATAATTGACAACAGCCTGTGCACCACATGTCACATATCCCACAAACGAAAGAACAAGGGAACAAGAAAAACATAGGATAAACCTGGCAACCTCAGGCTCCTTACACAATTAAGGCTATTTACAGGATTATTTACAGAAAATGTTGATCTTATGAATGAGCACATCGGCCTTGCAGCTTTTATAAATCATTCATAATGTTCAACATTGTATACTCTTATGTCGTGTATCATAAATTGGTTTTAGTCTCAAAAGAGCAATTTTCCAACGTCACCACCAGGTGTCTCCCTTGGTTTTGTTTTCCCTCTGTGACAGTAGAGGCCTTTATCACAGTGGACATTTTGGACAGAAAAGCACAGGCGTTGTGTTCAAGTGTCCCAGATGGACAACTAAAAAATACAGAATGATTGAAATCTATAAAGCAGAACCAAAGAAATGTTTTATTCCACACATTCATAAAAAAATACTTTATCAGTCCTTGAGGGAAAAATCAACTTTATTAAATGATCTAATTAATAAATCCTGGTTCAGTTTCTCCATTCATTTAATCCACATTAAGTCTGATAAACCAGAATATCTGCACTGTAGAGGAAAATAAACAATGCTTCACAAGTGATTATCAGTATAGTAACAATAATTATACATCTTAACTACACTTTTGAAATATATTTACACATTAAAAAGTGACAAGAACAAAAAAAACATCAATTATGATCAACTGTGAGCTCAAATATAACACTTCATAACCAAAATAATACATACATCAATAATTGCATGAGTTTATTTCTATATATAAACACTCTAAAATACATACCTGTTGACGTGTTTGATTTTTGTTTCCAATTACTCAGTTTCCCACTATACAAACATTATGTGAAAAAACTTTAAGCTCTACAATATTATTTGACTTAATACATTTGAAAAGAAAACCCCCACACTTATAGATTCTGTTCATTTCTGTTCATCTGATATTCAAGTTATATACATATATGCGTGATATACATATATCTACATATACCCACACTGTTTGAGTGACTGTTTAGTGCAGAACCATCACAGGACAGAGAGCTGAACAAATAAAGATGGAGAGTAAATTTACTACCTAAAAGTAGATTCTCAGCCTTTGTCTTGTTTATAACACCTGTCTACTTGAGATCACACAATTCAGCAGTGTGATTATAAGAATAAACACCAAGTCCAGCATAGAGAGGCTGAGTGAATGTGGTCTGGACTCTGTGGAGGAGAGTCATGGTGTCAGAGACTCTGTAGAAGGACAAAATACCTGCAGGGTGATCCAGGTACACTCCCACTCTGGAGGACTGAGGGCCTGAGATGGAAGTGCTGATACTGTTATGTCTGAATTCATAAAAACCATCCAAACAATATACTGCCCAAGATGTGTCATTGTTCCCAAATCTAGTTTCATATACTGGTTCTCTCATATGTGCAGATGTGACTGCTACTGAAACTCTAGGTCCACTCCACTTCACCTCCCAGTAACATCGTCCAGTCAGACTCTCTCTGCTCAGGACCTGACGGCTGTACACGTTACTCTGTGAACTTTGCTTCTTAAGGTGGAATGGTGTCACTGTTGCTCTTGTGTTCCCTTCAGATAATTCGAGGGAGCTGCCTGCTGTGTTTGGATCTAGTGTGATCTGACGTGAATACTGTAAGAATTCAGCTCTGGTCTTGGGCTGAGGTTGTGCTAGCAAAACATTCACTTCAGTCTTTGTCAGTGAGATCTTGGTCCACACATCACTAACAAAGTCCTGTAGTTTATCTCTGGCCTCTGACACAGCTGCAGTCACATCCTCAAAGTGTCGCACAGGGCGGATATTGATCCTGGATGAGTCTTCAGAGTCAGTGAGATGTGACAGTGAGGGGTAGCTCTGTAGAAACTGGTTGTGGTCCTCTGTGTGTGAGAGCTTCTCCAGCTCAGTGTCTTTCCTCCTCAGATCAGTGATCTCCTGCTGCAGCTTCTCCTGAAGCTCTTTGACTTGTCTAACTTTAGTTTTCTGCTGAGATCTGATGTGCTGCTTCACATCAGATCTTCTTTTCTCAATGAGACGGATCAGATCTG